TCAACAGAGCTGAGATGATTGTATTTGTATGCCTAACAATGAAACTATGAGAGAAAAACTGAACTACTCTGTCAGCTTAAAAAAAACCCAACATCATGGCTAACATCAGGCTAAGCATAGGGTAGGAGTCCTCCAACAGGCACTATGGCACTCCCTGCTCCTGCTAGGACAGCTGGCTGCAGAAATCAAAGCAATGACACAGCCAAACTTTTCCAGTCTCAAACAAAAACAGGAATCCACCATCATTCCAAAAAAATCATGCTTGCCCATAACCATCCTGCACCAGAAGCTGGCCAGCAGCATGTCTGGAGTCAGACTGTAATTGTGTGTTATATTACAGACTTCAAACATCATGGCAGCTGGATTTCAGAATGGAGGAACTCTGCTCTACTCTGGAGACAAACAGCACCTAGTATTACAGTCCAGTTTTCAGGTGTTAGGAAAACAAAACTCACAAATGGTAAACACAATAAATAATTTAAAACACAATAGAGTAGCTCAGAATTGACATATATGGGAGGAGAAAAAGCCTTTCAGGTGAGATCAAATGTACCATTTTTATGGAGCTATAGTTTGTTGTTGCAGGACGTTGAAAAAAAAAGCCTCTTGGGCTGCTCCTGACCCCAACCCTTAAAAAAACAAAGCAACTCCCTCCCCCCAGTCACACTTGCTAATAGACAGGAAAATCCCATAAAATTACTTTGCCTCTCATGTTCTAAACCAAGCCAATTTAATATAAGATATTCTATCATCGGAGTGGCCAACTGCATTCCCAGAGAGAGAAAATAAAACCAGACTGTGACGGCCCAGATCTGTAGCATTCACTGTTACAACCTCTGCATTAAAGAGAGAGGAATATAGAAAAGTAAAAACCATGAGTTTTCCACAAAATCCATTAGGCAGCTTTGTCAGATGTGTCAGTATCTATAAGTTTCTCACTCAACATGTTCCCTCAGTGCCTAGAGAAAAACACATTGGCTGATTTATTTAAGAGGCATTTAGTACTGGATATAGTAGTTGATACAAAGCTCTACCCTCTGTTCTAAAGACAATTTGTTTCTTCATTTAAGAGTTGGATTCACCATTTCACGTCAACCAAGATCTCTCATCCTGTACTGACATCTTCCTATTATTGATGACACCTAAGTTTAGAGGGTGCAGATAACCCTTGTTAGCAATAAGAAGTGGTGACAACACAGGTCAAGAAGCACACCTTTACGCTTTGGGAGGAACATATAAACCCTGGTTGCTGATACTGTAAATAAAATCAGTGGTTTATTTCTGAATGAACCTCAAAACAGGAGGTGCTATACAGATCATAGCTTGATCTCAAATAATCATTCTGTTGATGATCCAAGCTGAAAAATGCTTTCTTTGGCTGATAATTTGCACTTGCTTCCTTGGAAGCGTATTATTTCTGGCTGAGACAAATTCTTTTTATTTTTAAGTAAGTGTTGAAAATATTTCAAAGAGAATTGCCAAGTGAGCCTGTAATACCTGGACCAAATATCCTGTTTTGTAGTAATACAGTCTATTTAGGGCTGCATCAGAAGGTCACTCATACTTCAACTACTGCAATATGTCACCACCTTATAAATGAGAGTGATATCAGCAAGCAAAATTGGTGCCTTATCATTCCCTGGCACTGGCTGCCTATTCCAGGTGGAAGGTGTGATGTTACATTTACATGTAAAGGATCTGGATGACTAAAGCTGGCTATGAACTCAGAAGTATAAGACAAACTGATAAATCCATCAAGAGCTGTACCCTTAACAAGGAAAACACACAAATGTGCAGAATTACACAGGGTTGGGGCATTTGGTGCTGAATAGCAACAACTCTGGTACTGCTAAAATGCAAACAGTGTCTGACTTTGGCCTTTCCAAACTGCAGTACATTTAAAAAATCCCCATCTTCCAGACTGTTATACAGGTCAAAATTAATGAAATCTGTCAGGATATTTTAAACTAAAATCTTCAGGCGCTTTCAAGGTATGTCATTACATATTTCGCAATTCATAAGTCAAAACTTGGAAATGAAAAAAGTGTGTCTTTATTGATAGTCTGCCACAAATTAATGCATAAACTTAAGAGTTAGCCAAAAATGTATCTGCCATCCGAACATGGCAAGCATTATCTGCAAAAAGTGGATGCTTTCTTCTAGTAGATACCCAGATGTTCTGTTACCAGATTTCACTATAGTGCCATTTGCAGTTAAAGTATTGTTTTGCACAAGCTGCATGATGCTCACCAGAGTCACGGTCACTTCATTACTGCAAGCACACAGAGATGTACACTTTAATGTTAAGCCTTTACTGAAACCAGTGGAACTCGTTTGTCTCTCAGGTGAGCTTGCACACCATATTTGCAGAACTGGAGTTTATGACTACAAAAGCAATGACAAGGGGGACAAGAACAGGTGCACTACAATAGGCATTCCAACAATTCAATGCATCTATCTTACTGAAGAAAATCATATCTTTACATACTATTGAATGTTAAAAATGAACAAAGATGTTTAAGCACAAAGTATATATTTATACCAAATAAAACAACTGAAAAAGTATTACATAAAGAAAAATAATGTAACAGAATGTACTTAAGTACCTAGCTTACAGTCATGCTCATATCTAAAAATAATATTGTTAAGTAATATATATAATTTTGGACATAATTCTCTAACATACAACATGATTCTGTGATTCTAAATGTGGAGAGTACTTTTTCCATGATACAGAAAACAAATTATTTTATACAGGCACACCTGCTAATTTGTATAAAAAACATGCTTGTAAGTGAAAAGGTCACTGTAGTACTAATTTACCATGTAGTGTTAATCATGTTGAAATTGTCTCTTCTCCTTTTGCATTGGTGAGCGCCAACACTGAATGGTACAATATTTGATCCGTATGGTTCACTGACACTGCAACCTGCTCCCAAGCAGTAGCCCTGCCTGGGTGTTAACAGTACAGCTCTGTACAGCCCTGTCTGTCTGCATATAGTGTATTTAAAACTAACAGCTATTACAATTATTACAATGATTTCTGTTTCAATATATACATCAGTATAAAATACTACCCAAAACACTTTTGCATTTCAAACAATTTTAACCACTTCATCAAACAATGCGTTTGCAGAATTAAAAAAAAATCCCAATTAATATTGATTGCCAACAGTACAGCATCTCTATGGTATGTTTCTTAGTAAGTGAGAGAACGGAAATGTCTTAATTAAAGTAAGTATCACAAAACATAATTAATGTTAGAGCAGTTCAAGGATTCCCAGTTTGTCAGTATCTACCCTAAGCAGTGCTACCCAAATACAGTATAAGCCATTTAGTGTTTCTACAATGAGAATAAAACATTCAAACATTAAAGCTGTGACAAACACACAAAAGCAAGGAAAGGTAATTTGTTCTGTACTCATTTCTGTTCTAGCAAGGTACAGCATGTCAGGAGTTTGCACTCAGTGCATCATATCTGGTTGTGTGCATGGACTGGGGAATGAGATGCTGGAGAGCAGTGCTGCACAAAGGGACCTGGGGGTCCTGGTCAATGGCAAGTTGGACATGAGCCAGCAGTGCCCTGGCAGCCAGGAGGGCCAACCCTGTGCTGGGGGCATCAGGCACAGCATGGCCAGCTGGGCAAGGGAGGGGATTGTCCTGCTCTGCTCTGAGCTGGGGCAGCCTCACCTCCAGTGCTGGGGGCAGTGCTGGGTGAAACAATATGAGAGAGTGTCCAAAGGAGGGACATGAGGATGGTGAAGGGCCTTGAAGGGAAGCCACTCCTCATGGCTGAGGTTACTTGTCTGTTCAGCCTGGAGGAGACTGAGAGGAGACCTCACTGGAGTCTGCAGCTTCCTCACGAGAGGAAGAGGAGGGACAGGTAAGATCTCTTCACTCTCAAGACCAGTGACAGGACCTGAGGGAATGGCCTGAAGCTGAGTCACGGGAGGTTTAGGTTGGGTAACAGGAAAAGGTTCTTCACCCAGAGGGTGTTTGGGCACTGGAACAGGCTCCCCAGGGCAGTGGTCACTGCACCAAGGCTGACAGAATGCAAGGAGCATTTGGACACCAGTCTCAGGCACATGGTGTGACTCCTGGGGTGGTGCTGTGCAGGGCCAGGAGCTGGACTTGATGATCCTGATGGGTCCCTTCCAACTCAGCTTATTCTGTGATTCTCTATGTGCTATGATACCTGAACACAACTGTGGAAGACAATTGAAATAGAATCAACTGAATTTCCTTGCTGTTGTGGTTTTATGTCAGATCATTCAAGTTTGGAAAAGGTAGTGTCTCTTTCTTTTCCTGACGGGAAGGAGAGAGGAAGAATTCACAATGAAATTGCAAAAATGCTACTAAAATCCCTATCTTGGACACAATACACTGCTTTAGGAGCTACTGTGTCATTGCACAATATAAGTGGCCTATTAATCACTGAATTATTGGTGTAGCAGAATACATATAATAGTGAATGTATTTTAAAAATTGGTATTTTAAAACTTGCCTGTATCCCATAAAAAGCCCCAAAATTTTGTGTTTTTCAAACACTAATACATTTATGTAAAGTAGTAAATATACGTTTATAGTGGCAAATTTCAAATCTCTGCCTCTGCTGCTTCAGTTTTCAAAATGGTTAAGAGTTTTCATTCTTTACATCATCTTAAATCAGAATTATTTCTGAAGCATAAAAGAAATCCAAATGGCAATAGTAATATGATGGGGTTTTTTTGTTTTGCTATTTTGTTCCTAGCTTAAAAAATAATCAGTGTCTTTAAAAAAATGCAAAACAGTAAAACCCAAAAAATCTCTCCTCAGGCAAAGTGCCCCTGCTGAGAGTTTTTTTCCAAAACTAAGATTCACGCTTACAGTATTTTTATAGTCATGTTATACACCCTTGAAAATAAAGGCTCCATGTTGAGAATGGTGACAGGCCCTCAATTATAGAGGTGTTAACTAGTGACACTATTTTTCATCAGAAAAAATCCCAAAAGCTCCACAAAAATTCATAGCTTATATTGAAAGTTTGATTCATGCTCGCTTTGTTCATTTAAAAATACTCTTTGGAAACTTGTGTCAACTCCTGCAGACAACTTAGTGATACATCTTTTCCTGTTAAAATAAAAATTATTCATATTCACCTCTACCCCATGCTAAGCTCTACTACTAATATACACTTCATTACCTGCTCATGTCACCATCTAACACATATCTTTACATTCTTCTACATATAGTGTCCAGGGCTTATTTTTCACCAAACAGAACTTGGTAACTATTACACTTAGAAGATTTTATTGAGAAGTTTTTTGGTGTTCTAGCCTTTTCATTGCAATGCACAGTGATATTAATAGTTCAGAATTTTTGTCCATGCTAACTTGAGAGAAATCTTTTATAATTTTTTTCCCATTAAGGATTTTAAAATCCCAACTCACTTGGAGACTAAAACTGAAAACCAGAAGAGAGATAAGATGTAATTTTAAAATGGTTCTGCTACTTTAAAATGCCTTTAAAATTTGTACACATGACAAAGGACTCTAATTTTTACGTTGCTGTAATCAGATTCTAATTCAAAGTCTTGCAAATACACATGAAAAATAAGCCACTGGTCATGAAATCTAATGATTACATTCAAAGCTAGCCTTTAAAAAAATTAAAAAAGTTACAGGCAAAACATACTGGTTTATGTACTCACTAGCTTATCAGGCTACAATAGGCATGGTTTAAGTATAAAAAAAGCAGACAATTCAGATTTAAATAAGACTGTGTGAAATCAGAAAAAAACCCTTAGATTTCACTATTAAAAAAACCCCGGAACACCTATAATTACTTCCCATCCTACAGCTACAGTTAAACCAACTAACAAAAATAATCAAAGTATTTCTGACAAATGGAAGTTAGGCTAGAGTATGTGGCAACAATCAAAATTCATATATGTTTCTATGTAAAATGACTCATGATTTACTATAACATAAAATATGAACAAGAGCACTTTGTGGCTAATGCAAGAGCTACTAGTAGGAACACTTAATGCCAAACAGTCTTCAGCCCTCCTTTACATCGTATCTCCAAATCAGTATTGACTTTTTTTGACCAGATACATCATTTTTGGCTTGTCACCCCAGTATGTCATGTTTTACCACTTGCCACAGGCAGCAAGAGACAACTAGCTGAGCAAACTACAAGCACTGACATGCAGAAATTAACTCTCAAATCTGAGTACTTAAGATAAAATGATATGCAAGCGCACACTAGGACAAAAGGAATGGCATTCGTCATCCAAAATAGGCTCATCATCCCTCCCCACCCCCCCAAACAGTAGTTGCAACAGCAATAGAAAAAGATCAAGAAGATGTCTGTTCTTCAGAGTCAACTGTGGAAAAAAGTCAGCAATATATAACAGCAGCGATGGACAAGGAAGAGCAAACCCAAAGAATCTTGTTGAGTATTTGTTCATTTACTTTTTCTGAACACAAGCCGGAGTGCACCACACTGGCTTGTTCTGGACTTCAGATACAGATGTTCTAATCTCCTTAGATCCTTCACAGATTTAGAATTCAGTCTCCCTGAGGCCCCTATAACCAAGTAAGAAAACTCTCTTTATCTAGCTTGGTGGCTGCCAAGACAGATTCCATGTCATTAAGGATGTCAGAGCTCAAAGCCTCTTGCAGACTTGGCATCAGTTCTTCTCCTTCTATATTCATTCCATCTCCTTCCAGTGTCCCAAGGTCCACATTTGTCCCTGGAATGGCTTCAAGGTAGTCTGGGAAACGGTTCTGATGGGATGGTATGTTACTTTGGCCGATACTGTCACCTAGTTATAACACAAAGATGGATATTAAGCATACTGGAAGTACCAAACCTACCATTTATCAGGACAACTGGTTAATCATGCAGCTCTTGCATCATACAAGCAGTGTGACTCATAGAAATCCATCACAAACCCCAAAGATAACTCGACTGCATGTAGATGTACAAAGAACATGCCTTTGTTTCCAACTTTCACCTACTGACCTGAATCTTAATGATCTTTGATGTCACTCAGCAGAATTTAATTTTTACACTTGAAGGAAAAGGACAATACTGAGTCAAATCTAGTTTTGGAGTAGTATTAACAACACTGTATGATGTACTATTCTTAGCTCTGAACAACATTACTTCAGAAAGCAAACGCACTCAAATTCCTTATAAAAACAGGAGTGATACTGCTTATGAGCAATTTCCCCGTCCTCCCAACACAGTTGATTACAAATATATTTTTTCACAAATCTAACCATAATGCTTCTATCAGAGAAATAGGGGAAATATGAAAAGGTAGACAAACAATCCAAAAAGTATCACAGCTCTTCAGAGTTGCTTGTTTTCACTGCAAATGGACACAAGTGTATTTGGAAAACAGGCATTAAAAATGTACACAAAACCCGACCTGTATCCATCTCATCAACACTGTTCAGGAAGTCATCTGGGGTTCTGGGTACACTGTAACTGCTCATGCTAAGTCCACTGTCTGTGCTTTCATCTCTGGAGTGATATGTTCCACTGTAACAGAGAAAAGGAGGGAAAAAAATGAGAGCACTGAAGAAAATAAAATAGATACTTGTTTTGAACTAATTTATGGGCTTTGAAAACATTGCTACCATAAGAAATCCCCTATTCAAATAAAAAACTGAAGCATTTGTTTGCATGAGACACCTTGCAAACTTTTGCAGACCTTTTCCAATTAAAACTATATTATTTAGATTCAATTTAACTTCATGAGAACACACCTAAGGAGCTTTAAGAAACTGCCTACTTGTGCTGTGCCTAATTTTAATCTTTTCACACCCACCCACAGCTGAAACCTTTTGAAGCATATCAGATAATCCATAATGATTATAAAAATAATAATAACTATGGTGCACCCTTTTATGCTTCCATAAGGATAAAAAAATACTTCTAACTAATGTTCCCATGTTTAATCAACCACTGATGTGTATTTTTAGATCACTGCTGTTATAAATAGTTGGAACTCCTTTAGCAATTCTTCAATTGCTTCCCACTGCTGCATTACTACTTGTTCAGTCACAAGTTATGTCAAGGCAAGAGAGCACCCAAATATAAATCAAATACTGGTACAGAAGCCATCCTATAAACAAACCCTGCTCAGAATGATCTTGCTGACAGAACAGTTAACCAAACTGATGGCATGGGGCCTTGCATGCCTTCACTTTCTTACTGCCATCTCCTGCCAGCACAGCAAGCAAGACCAAGAGAGCCACAGTGGAAAATGTGGGATTGGGAGGGGAAATAGGCCAGTGTGTTGAGTTTCTACAGCACGGTTTTGATAGCAGGGGTCTGCAGGGATCACTATGTGACACAGCAGGAGGAACTGATCCCAAGTCAGCCAGCTGCTTCCAGCTGTCTCCGAAGTGGTCTAGCTGCCCAAAGCTGAGCCCATCAGTGACAATGGCGGTACCTTTGTCATAACATATTTAAGAGGAGAAAAATGCTGAACAGCAGAAGGGAGAGAGGAGTGAGAACGTGTGAGAGGAACAGCCTGCAGACCCCAAGGTCAGTGCCAGAGGAAGGGCAGGAGGTGCTCCAGGCAACCAGATCTGAGGTTCCCCTGCAGCCCCTGGTGCAGCCCATGGTGAGGCAGCTGTGCCCCTGCAGCCCCTGGAGATTCAAGGGGGAGCAGAGATCCACCTGCAGCCCATGGAGGATCCATGCCAGAGCAGGGGGACGCCTGAAGGAGGCTGTGACCCCATGGGAAGCCTGTGCTGGAGCAGCCTGACAGGACCTGTGGCCCCATGGAGAGAGGAGCCCATGCTGGAGCAGCTTTGCTGGCAGGAGCTGTGGCCTGCATAAGCAGCTGTTGAAGGCCACCATTACCTCTCTCCCCTCTGCATCTCCTAATATTCAGTCTTCACAAAATATTTTCAAAATCTGTATTTCTTCAGGTTATGTCAGCATTCACTGAGAATCCTTACTGAGTTTCCACCTGGCATCCTAAATGAACGTCAACTTGATTTACTGTTCAAATTATCATTTGAAGACATACTGGTCCTCCTCATGAGGCACTTGTGAAGTATATAGTATATGCCTTTTTGTCACGTATGAAGAACCAAAAAAATTACGAACAGCTATAGAACAAAAAAAAATTATGAACAACTATTCAACACTGAATGCCAGTAGAATGCCTTCAGCCATACATATAAATATATATATTAACATATATATATATTTGATTCCATGAGGACATCTTTGCCATACAAGAAAGAAACCTAGCATTTCTTTAGAGATAAATCATAAATAAATATTTTTCTTTTTTTAGATTGATTTAAAAACGGAATCACCACACATTCAATACAATCCTAGTAATTAAATGATTTAGAACTTCTGTGAACAAAAATGCTGGTTTACTTTATGGGATAAAATACCAAAACCAGAATTGAGACTATGCTGAACTAAATCACGTCAGTGGAGAAGGCTTTTTGGCTGTTTCTCTCCCTCTTGGAATGTTCATCACTTCTCTTTAAATCACTCCTTAATACATATTTCCTCTTTCTTCAACGAGGATTTGTTCATTTAGAAGTCACACCACCCAAAATTACCACATGCAACTAAACAACATTACCCAAAATAGAGTGGACTCTTCTTCAACTAATCATTGTTAAAATATGTGTATACAAAAGAAGAAATAGCAATTTAGGAGTTAAACAGAGAATTACCATCACTACCAATACAAATCTAACCAACAAAAATATATAAACAAGTGTGGCAAATCAAAAGGTGAAATAGTCTAATGAAGTCTGCACTGATGAATATCCCATTCAAAAAACCCCCCCCAAAAAACTTAATAACAGTCAGTACTGAAGACAGCAGACAGATTTGATTATGCATTTTCAACCACTACTGAGCATTATCTCAAATTGCTCCAATGCAGTGATTTTCTGAGATTTTTTTATGCTTCTACGATATATTATACTATTCTACTACTATATCATTCTATATTATTCTACTATATATTATACTATATATATAGCAGAAAATATTAAACAACCTAAACTATGAATATATAACTTCGGGGCCTAAATTTAGTACTGTCTCACCAGGAACTTTATGTACACCTTCTAAAGATAGAAAGGAGCATTTCTCCAAGTCTGAACTTTAACATAAGGAGTATCAACAAGATCTTTAGGTCAAAACTATTGGATTGCTTTCTGAGACAGCAATGCATATTCACAAATGTCCTTTCTTAAAAATCCGTTTCCCACACCTATATGACAGAATTAAGGGTGGAGCCACCAGCCTAGAAGGAAACAAATGTTCAGACCAAAATGCAAATTAAGATAATCTGAACTCAAGTCAAATACAGATTTTCAGTATTTTGGATGGGGTAAGGGCTACATTAAGAAAAAAAAAACAAAACAGTTAAACATATATGCAACTAGGCAAGCAGTATCTTTTTGCACTTTGCAGTAAGTATCAACCTGCCATAAAATTACAAAATGTATATTTGCCCATTCCAGTTTTTTCCCTGTTTGTAGTTAATGGCAAAGATCTATCACTTTATATTTTATATGTGTAGACTCACACCGGATAAAGTGCATCAGTCCATTGCCATGGTCATTTGAAACCTAAAGACACATTTCCTTCAGGTCAGAAAACAGGTTATGAAGATGTGAGGACCTGTATGATGTATGATGGCAACAGCCTTCCAGAAGTTTAAGCCAGAATTTTACTAAACCACATCAATACCATCATCTATCTACAGAGGCTTCCCATAGGAGAGCAAGTCAGGTTTAAATTGTCATGACTCTTTTATTTCTTCGGACAGAGCCAGAACAGTCGAGGCTCATGCAGGAACACCCTATAGGATGAATTCCATGTAGGATAATTCCTTCAAAAAACATCATGTTTTCTAATCATAATTGTCTGTTTAGGAGATACATCTTCCCAAAAGGATTACCCAAAATACAGGTATCACTTATCTCAAGCTGCAGCAGTTCAAACCAAACATTACAACTTGAGAGAAGCATCTGCAAGCTGAAATTAGAACAGTAATTCCAACAAAATAAACACTTAAAGTCAGAGAGATTTAGGAAAAGTTTTATGAAAGACTAGTCTGTACTGTAAGATTCTAAAAGTTGAATGAAAATATCCACTTCAAAATAATACAGCATTTAAAATGAAACATGCTGCTATTTGTAGACCTAACAAAAGAGTAAAAACCTAAGAGTAAAAATACTGCTAAATATCTGAAGTGGAGGGGAGAGGTGAATAGAGAAACCTTAAAATGAACCTCAAGCTGTAATCCTAAATGTGCCTCACAATTCATTTGATCTCACTGCGAGCTGTTCACAAATTCTTTGAGTCAGTAATTTGAAATGACTGTTAGTCAACAGATTATGCAGAGGCAAACATGTTACGACTTTGAATAAAAACCTTCCTGCAAGTCTGAACAGACTACTTCCTCCCACAGGAGACAGCTTTTAATCTTCACTTTTACTAGACTTGCCATTTAAGGAAAGATTCATTTACAGCTGTGGCTCTTGGCACAGACAGATGTTCAAAATAAACTATTACATGTACCAAACAGAATTTTAAATCAAATTTCTTTCCTCTAGTAGCTACTCCTACAAACCTGTTAAGAAAGGGATCAGAACTATTTGTAGTCATTGTTCTCAGTTCCTGAGACATTCCAGGAGATGACACAGGGTTTTGAGATCCACCGTCTTGTTCCATTGTTGGAAGCTGGCTACGGAGAGCCAATTCCTAGAACAGCAGGAGAGGGAGAAAGAGAGATCATGCTAGGCATTTGAACACACTTTTTGGATACATAAACACAGGACATTATAGATAATTGATGTTTTACTGCTTCCAGTTACAAAAGTTACATGAAATTAAACTGAAGTTTCTGAAGACAGACCAAGAATCTGTACTTGCTTCAAGTTCCAGCAGCCATACCCAACATTACAGAAACTGCACTGTAAATGTATTTATGGATATAAATATCTGTATGTTTACACAAGTATTTTCTAGTTCACTTCAGTATCTTTCTGCTAAGTCTATACTTAAACCAAACCAAGAATTGTTAATACTATCTGAGCCCTAATATAACCTGTTTAGCTCTGCTAAATAGCATTTTATCCCCACTTCTTTTAAATTCTGATTTAGTTCCTGGCTTCCTTTGTACCTTTCTTGTTTCAGTCAGCAAACTTTCAAGTCTTTCCCTAAAAGTTTCCATTCACTCCTCCTGTTTGAGGCATGCATTTGAAACTTCAAACTGATCAATCAGTGATTTGCTCCCTAAGTAAATTTCAAAACTCTTCAAATTCTGAGTAATTTCTTAGTAAGACCAAGACACGGCACTTATGAAGTTACAAATCTAAATTGCATACAATTTTTTACACATCTGAATGTTCATTAGTTTGAATAAAACCATCCATTAAGCTTGTAATTACTGATTAATGAAAGTAAATGTTAATATAAAAAGTATTATATTGAAGGAGGATGGAAATAAGTAACATTTTATGTAATTTCCAGTGAACCCTCTCCCCTTTAAGCAAGTAATTTTGCCAATTTTTTAAAGAAGTAATCCATGAGTTACACATGTGAAAATACAGTAATTTTCTTCAAGCAACTCCATTCAAACATCGTCAATGTCTCACCAAGACTGAACTTTATTAATGCAGACACTGGTGAATCTTGACTATCTTGTCACCATTAATGGTAGCATGTGACTTCCAGGCTGTGCCTAGGAAGACAATCTCAGGCAAAACCAATCCTGTCAGTCTTGACAATACTCAGTATTTCTCAGTTGTAAAATGAGAGGTCTTCATCCATTTTCAATGATAAGCTAAAAGACTTCTATACTGGAGTCTTTTAGTATATAAAACTAACTTTTCCCCAATTCTTCTGCAAAGAGATTTCTTTTTAAGAAATCCTCAAGTTATTTCTAGCAGACCGTGTATTGAAGCTTCCCTACAGCCTGCTTTTATTTTCTTTTCTAATCTGCATATGCTTCACTCTCATTCCTGTGGATTACTATTCTACATACTCCTTTAAGTTTTATATCTTGCACTAGAAAATTTTCTCACTACAATTGATTAGATCTCTGCAGAAATTGTACAAGCACACCATTGGTTTTTTTGTTCATTACACCCAATTACTACTTCAAGTAAACCCAGCCTCTGCTCATCACTACTTATTTGGCCTCTGTTCTAAAAAATAGTATCCATATCCCCATTTTCAGATCACAGAATGTTAAGCATCTTTTAATAATTCCTAAAGGCTTATCCATATGATTTTCATTTGCTTATGTAATAAAACCAAGTGTAAAGCCTATATAATGACATCTTACTTCAAAAATAAGTTTGCAACTTTGAATCAGTTACAAGTTACCTGATACATAGGTAGTCTCAGCCATTTGAAAAAAAGAAAGAAAAAAGCGTTCCTTCCTGGAATGCTTCACAAACAGTGATCTGAAGAAGGCAGAAGGTCTTACAGCAGCTATCCCACAGATGGCTCAAGAACTGCTCACTCACGTGCTGTCCTTTTCCCCTTCCCCCTTGGTTTGATCTGTACATTACATCTTTCTTTCCTTGGGCTGCAGTTCCTGATTTGGATGTAGAGGAGGAGCCAGAAGTGCCAGCAGACTGCAGAAGCAGCTTAATCACACACCAGTGCCACGAAGAGTGGTAACAAAGCAAAATCTACATGGAGTCATTTCTGTATATGAACTAAAATGACATTTTATCTCCTTTGTATGGCCTTTCCAATCAGGACTTCCTCCTGATTCAACAGTTGTGAGGAAGATAAGAAATCCATACATGTCTCTTTTTCAAGAGCTACTGACACCAGGAAAGAAAAAAATCTCCACAATTTTTCCTCTATTATCTTGAAAAAAAGTCAGTACTAATGAATAAGAAATTTGGAAAAACAGGGAAGTTACCTTTGTATTTTTCTAACTCCTTAATGCAGCAGAGGTTGAAGTTTCATCAATATACAAACTTAAACAGTATGGTAAAAATAAATGTAGCTCAAGAAGCTAGCCAGCTAAAACAAAAAAAAAAAAAAATCTCATTTCTCTACAGGCCCACTAAAGAGATGTATTAAACCAGGAGAGAGAACTGTATTTTGCCTATTCTTTGGCATGTACTACGTAGTGAAACCAATATTTTAAAATTAGAACTACTTTTATCTTTGTTTCAACAACACTGCTAAAAAATCCAAAACAGCAACTATTTTAAACTATTTATAAGTAGCAATACTGCTACTTTTTCAGGAGTTAGAAGCACTTTCCCCTCAAAAGAATGTTATTACTCATCTAAGTAATAAATTTATGTCATTCTGGGACTCTGAAAGAAAAAGGAATTACCAAAAAAGACAAGCTATTGAGAAACAAATGCAGGGCAATTTTTAATCATTCTGCAAGATAAGTAATGTTTCCTAAAGGCGTAAAGAGTATGTTAAGACTATTTTTCCTAAAAGGTGTATAAAATGGAAGCTGAAGTTGTGTTGCTTGAAGAACAGTCTTTTCATTTCTCTTTCCTTATAAACCGGTTTTAGAATAAAAAAGTTGTATGTTTTCTACACTTAAAAAAATGTATGGGAGTGTCCAAGTCTCTCCCAGCTCCAAACACAGCAATGTGAACTCTAGGCTTTTAGTTCATGCTTTAAAATATATGCTTTATTAGAAGTATTAAAAGTCTGGAGGCAAAAATAAAACTATGACAAAATCCTGGCTTAGATTTCTATGAATTGATCTCATCCTATTTTTTAAGTATGTCAAACTTGTTTTAAGTACCTCTGGGAAAAGAAAAGCTTAGTATTCCTATTCTTAGCACTAAAGCAGAATTTTAGTTATTACACAGAGACCAAAATGATCTGTCATTTCCTCTAAATAATTTTAAAAATAAGGTCAGTACTGTGTAATTTATCTGGCTGACCTCATGCAAATTTTTTTTCGTAATTCCATACAGATTAAGTTTTACATAAAGTCACAGGTCATTCACACCATATCCAAATTAACTTCATAAAACTATCCTTTTCAGAGCATTTTACCTTCACTGGTTTTGAGGAAAGGCAGATGACTTGTGCAACTCATTTATATTCGTACTGTATTAAACCTATGATATGCTACTCAATTTGACTTAATATATCCTGATAATTGGTTTTGCAAATTTACTTTTAAAGTGCCAGTTGTTCTGCCCCTAACCATCGCTCAACTTTCAAATGAACCACAGGCTTTCCTGGGATGAGAGAGAAGTTTCAGGGGAAAAGAGAAGACCACAACATTTATGGGCAGACTTACAGCACCAGTTGCTCCTTCAGATTAAGTGTTTGCATTCTTGTGAGGGTGACAAAGTTACAGCACACGTACAAAAGAAACAGGGAAGACAAGTGGAAGACAAATGAACTCAGCAATGAGGAGTTGGGCAATTTGCGAGGACTAAGCAGGAAACAGACCATTCACTGTTTCAATCACTACAGCCAGCACAGCCAGTGAATGCAGTTCTGATTTACTAGACAGACTTTTAAACAAGGTATTTATCCATTAAGATCTACAGACATGAGCAAGCAATTATACAGTTATTTTGTTGATCTGTAAATCTTAGAAACAAGCAGCAGATACAGAGCAAGCAAGCATATACAGAGGAACTTGTCTCATAAATGTGTAGTATGCTGATCTTACTAGCAAATATTCTAATATTAGCAGTAGATAAATAAGAAATCTTCCATTCTCAGCACAAGAAAATAGTCTGCACAACATCCAAGAATAATGCCATCAGTACCTCGACATTATTTGACTCTATTTCTTTCCATAGCACACTGTAAGGGAAGAAATCTTTTACTTAACATCTGTTCAATTTTGTAACATATACAAAACTTGATTGACATCTGTTCCACATTAGAAATTGTTGACAACCAGATGATAACTGCATGAAAATGGAAAGAGAGGAAAAGAGTGGGGATGGAGTGAAAGCTGTCATTCAACCTCTTTACTTAGACAGATAGTTATCTTGAAGGTTTCACAAATAACTGATGATGATGAGCACAAGTAACTGAACAGATGCTTGGTGTTTTTAAATTTCCTGAATGTATCAACAGTTCTTGCTGAAACACAGTAAGTCTCAAAGTTACAATTTTTGCTACAGGTATCTTTGACATTTTTAGAATTTCAGTAAAATACATCCTCATTCAAACAAGAAGAGTCTCCTACAGTGTCTGCTATGAAAAACGAAACTGAGCAGTTATTTACTCTTTCCAGAAGCTGCTAAGGCTTCCATACATAACACTTGGAGTGTTAGTGTCACCACAGGATACTACAGGATCATGGAAGAGAGACCAAAACCTGGCAGGGACACTACGGTTACCCAGTACCAGCAACACCTGACTGTAGGTATCAATACAATCATGGTACTGTATCCAGGCTACATGGGGAAAAATGTTGAGAAGGATGAGGATGTTGGGCTAGATGATCTCCACCAGCCTCTTCTAACCCAGTGACTGTGTGACAGGAAAAGCCCAGAGATCCAGTCAAAAGTTAAGGAGTATTTGTCAGATGTTTTAATCGATCTGTAGAAGAGATTTCATTAGAGCTAAGCTTCAAGAATGTTGGTGTTACATAATTTCTTTACAAACGAAATCCCTCTCTGAAACAGACTTAGCCTTCCCAGAATTAAGAGCACTGAATATATGAAGATTTAATTTTTAGTATTCCTGAAAAGAACATCTAAAATTTAGCAAGAGAAGCAATTACTTTGCCACCAAGCACAGCTTTATCATCAGGAAAGCAGATAATTCCTCCAAACGTCATTAATTTTATTCAAAAAGAAAGAAAGACCTGTCAGAAAGAAGAAGTTGAACAAAGAAATTTTTATTCTTTCCTACACATTTTCCAGATTCCAGTCAGCTGTGATCTGATCAGATATACAGATTGGGACTTCAATTGCAGCATCATCAGAGAAGATAGACTATATATGCCTGTATAGTACAAGGCCTCAAGAACCATTTAGAGAATCAGAACCCAGAAGCAGTTCTCTAAGCACCTTCTCCCACCTGTGCTGGCCCATTACATTGCTGAGGTGATAAGAAAACACAAGAAATACATTTAGATGGTGCAACACAAATAGTCTAGTATTATAGTACTTTAAAGATGACATGATTGCCCATTCTTCTACCCAACAGATCACTCACATACACCTTGACTCATTAGCAAGTGCAGACTAAAAACTGACCCCAGGTAGGAGGTAGGCAAGTTTAAACATAAATGGAATTCTGATTTTTGTATAAATTCTTTCATCAGCTCCCACTCCAAATAAAGCAGAGTGACCACTACATATGCATTTAATGAATTATCGGTATAGTCCCTTTGAGTTTTTGCAGTTTTTTAGGATTTAAAGCCATAATTTCAAGAAGTTCCAAAAACCTAATCTTACAGACTTAAGTACGAAACTGATAACAAACTTCTCCATTTCCTGTATTTATTTTTGAGTTGGCAACAGGAAGAAACTAGTGGAAGAGTGAAAAATGGTATGACAGGGCTTCAGGCATAGAAGAAAACATAGAATACACTTTTGGCATTCCGTAAGAAAAACATCCCCTATGAATGACACAATTATGCCAGAAGATAAGGTGTTTTCAACTGGTGTGGAGGAGTTCTCCTTTATTTATTCTCTTGTATAACCACAATTCTTGAGGACTTTTGTTTTCTCCTCCAGAATAGGATCTAATATTGATTTATAAGATCATTATGTGGCTAATGCCTTGTAAATGAATCAAATTACTACATCTTGATTAAAATGCTTCTGTTGAAGAACTGCTCTGGTACTGCCAAACAAGAAAAGTATTTTTTTCCAGGGTGTCAGCATTAAGATCTGAAGTTCCTTTTTCTCAGAACTAGTAACATACAAATTTTGTGGTACTCTTCAGAATGCAACAGTACACCAGTACTCATGGCTTCCAAGCAGAGGATACTCTCTTTTCTTCTGTTTTTCCTGCCTAGTGCGTACGGAGGTTTCTCTTAAAAAACAAAGTATAGTACAAGCCAATAAAAACATTGTACTAAGAACCAGTAGATTAAACCACTGTTAGCAGTAGTAAATATGAAGTTCTCTGAATATATCCATAAATCCACCCTTCCAGTGATTCACTCTATATTCAGCTTCTTTAGAGACTGAAAGAAGACCGTATTAAACTGTTTATTTTGCTTCACATTTTGAACAATTTTATTTTGGTCTGAGCTTGAAAGGCTTTTCGTAACTGTTGTTTCCTATACAGAAAACGTATCTGTGCAAGAGCCAGTTAAACATCAAAATGGAAAAATTATATCTGCATAGATTGTTAGTCTAATCTATTAAGTAATTCTGTTATACTATGCATGCTTAAAAATCATAACTATTTCAAGTGACTTTTCATTAACTGATAACAGATCTCCTTCTCTGAGATCATACCTGCTTAAACAAACTGATAAGAACATTCATACGAACAGTACTTAAAAATCACCAACTACTACCTTAGATAGTTTGCTTTAAATAAATATCTTGATGACATCACGACTGGAACAGCAGTATCCTCAAGAATGCTAAACAAGAAGGTTGTTTTCAATGTAAAAAAATGTGCAATGAATTCCTCATTTGCTCTTAGATACTGATATAAAGTTGTGGTAATGCAGCACTCCTAAAAACAGTGTTAGGGCTGTGACCAGAAAAGTGATTCAAAAATGTGCATGGCAGAGCTTGGTTTTTTGTTTGTTTTTCTCTTTTTTAGAACGTTTTCATGTTGTAAAAAGTTCCCTGCCAGCCTAATTTAATGCTTTCATTTTTCTAATTGTGCTGAAACATCAGTTAAGAGCCTACCTGATGTTTTGGAGAATTTGCTGTGCTGGGATTGATATTCCGCAATGCCTAAGAGTAAAAATAAGATGGATAAAAATTACTTTAGCTGCATGGTTTACCTATGCAGGCTGTCTTATAAACACCATCTTGTAGTATCAAGCCCCCGAGACAGGCCAGATGAGACAGGATAAAGGAGTTAAGAAACTGTGAAAATTATGACACAGTGAAACAAAACTCACAGATTTACCAAGGATGCATATTTGACAGATAAGCTTAACGACTAAGGAGAACAACATGAAGAGAACCGGTTGTCACCTGCTCCAAAGTTAGTCAGGTTCTCAATGACAACTGAGGCAAGAAGACAATTAGAAGGCCTACCTAGAAGCATGCTAGCACAGGGTAAAATGTCTGTGGATTAATTGCAAAGCAGGAACAGCAGAAGCCCAGGTGTTTAAGCAGAGAGAAAGTCCTGATGCCACCTTTGCAATGAATTCTTACCTAGAGTACTATAAAAAGTAATGGCTGTAAAGATGACCCATCTTACACCAAGAGATGCTGAAGATTCCTACAAAACAGTCCTTGACTACAAAGGGGATAACGGGAAGTCAGATTCCAGGACAGAATACTGCAGGTGATGAAGAAAGAGAAAAGCTGTCTTTGAGGACATTAAGATATTATCCTCTTCTGATACAAGGCCCATCACCCAAAGTGAAAAGGGAAAGATTCCTCAAAGAAAAGATTAGTAATCTTCCTGCCAGTGTCAAAAACCCAAAGAAGTATCCTAAGTACCTAGCACAGATGATAGTAACTCTTAAAATACTCAGATTGAACAATCAAAGCAAAAGGCTTAGAGTCAAAAGGAGATCAAGCCCGAATTCCAATCCAGAGATTGCAAAGTCCAGCCCTACACTTTAACATTTGTTACAGTCATATCCATATAGTGGGTAATACAGCCATATCCACATAGTAGAAAATACTGAAAAGGCATAGCCTGCAGCCTTATTATGAAGTTTGAAATTCTTCAGCATAAGAAAACCACAGGTATAAAATGCAGCAAAAGTTATTCAGTTGTTCCATGCTCATTCCACTGTTGAAAAGGCAAGATTTTGGCAACAAGGCATCTCCTCAATGTACTTTATATAAACTTTAAAAATACGTCAAAATCCGACAGACTGCAACAGGTTCTAAAACTCAAGCTTTTCCTTGACTTAAAAGGAGGAACTAAAGTAGCCATGGGAAATAACTTTTTGCATGACTTGGAACTCAATGAATATGAAATATATTCTCAAGACGAATATCCAATCATATCAACAGTCCATGTTGTCATTCTTACAGCTTGTGAAGCCTGCTCTTTTAAGAGTTTTGTTAGAGGGAGGAATGAGGGAGGAAAGCAAAATCCTTCAGTCTAAAAAATCAGATACTTTCACCAACAAGTTGATGTAAGTAAGAGAATGAATTCAGACGTTTTTAGATCTCAAATCTTTTTGTGCAGTCACTGGTCTTTTAAGACTCACTGAAACAACAACTTGGAAAAATCAAAACGTAATATACAAAAGAAATAGTGGAAGTAGGTTTCTAACCTGTGGCCTCACCTGCCGAAGCAGTTCTTGATGCTTCAGTCTCAGCCTTTCTTTCTCCATCTGTAGCTGCTGAAGTCTCATCTGTTGCTGCTGATTGGAGCTACTCCCTCCCATCACACCACCCTGGGGACTCTGAGGAGCCAGAGGAGGTGGCTGTTTGACTGGAGCACTTTGGCTGATTCGCTGATTCATGGCTAAGGAACCAAAACAATAAACATTTAAAAATAAATTCAAACAAATACATGCAAGGGAACTATTATCCATGAAAAGTATACATCAAAAAAATCTACAAAATTACAAGGCATGGCAGTACAAAAACACAGTTACACTGGTATTCAGAGTGTGAAATTATGCTCACGTGTGAGCAATTGATGTGTGTAAAATTAATGCAACAGTCTCATGGTTAAGACTACATTTTTCTAAAAGCTTCTGAAACCAGTTTAATATGCTAACTGGTGAAAAATTCAAAAGTGGTAGTAAAATATTTCAAGTTGAATTAGAAAAATTTCTCTTCTTTCTAATAAACTATTCTCACTGCAGACACAAATAGTAAATAACTTGTTTTATTCATGTGCGATCTTAGGTTCACTTAACTTGAGAACACAGAGAATGAAAAAATGGATAATTTCACTTTTACTGAAAACAATTAAAAACTACCTATTGTGGTGCAAAGTCATGCATTCAAATCCTTGAGACATCAAGATTTTAGTGTTAGAGACTTCATTTAGAGCTTCTTGATAGACAAAATTAGAGTTAGTACAGAAATGGCAGATAAATTACACAGCCATAAATACTGACATCAACATAGGAAACATTTTGCTAGTTCTTAATTTTCTTTTACCCCTCAGAGCTATGCATTGCATTTTTCCTAGGGAGTGGAGAAGAAAAGGCATAACATTGGAATGCACAGTGAGAACCCATCTTCCCTTCCTGTATAAAAGCATGACCTAAGACAATTTTATTTTATAAAATAATACATGACTGGGATGCATCTATGTGACAAGCCTCATTTCTCCCTCACATGACACCAATATGGTTAAAGTCAACAGAGGCATTAGAGTTCCCGGAGTGAAAGAGAGGGTGGGAAAGGCTGACTGTATTGCAAGGGCACTGTTTTCAGGGGCTTTCAGTCTGGAATTAGCTCTCCATCATGTTCTCTGTAACAGACTGAATCTGTTAACACTCACAGTATTCTGCAGAATGCATTTGCTGAAGCAGTGATGGGAGAATGGCAGGGATTTTTTTTTTTTTTTTGAATGAGGATTATGGTTTACAGAAACCAAGAAAAAAAAGAGAGAGTTTCTTTTAGGATGACTGGATGAAGTGGGGCAAAAAAAAAAACATCTGTAGAATTAGTTTGAGTTAATGTTTTCATCATATAGAGGATTCATGGAATATTAACATTTCTAACTACCATAAGAAAGGAGAATTCTCTCAAAAAAATCTGCATCATTTTTTCACTGAAAAGCCCTTCAGACTCCACTGTCTTTTGAGTGTTCTTCTGTTGCAAGAAAGCAAATACATATTTTCCACACAATACTAAACCAGTTAGAGAACCAACTCTGCAATCCACCCTTTCAACTAATCCACTGGTCCAGCACATTCAAATGGGAAGAAGGGTCATATTTTAATGAGTCCAATCAACATAAAACGGCTGACAAATAGCTTGAAGTGATTTGAAACAGCATTTCATCCAGAACCTTTTTAAAGAACTTCATACATATGTTTGCTGATATGATAAAACTTTCTCTAAGGTAAGTGAACCTGTGAAGCAGGAATAGAAATTGGATCCCACTACCAAGAAAAAACAACTAAGTCTGCAGTTCAGCTCCAATCTACAAGTCTCATCCTGACCCAGCATGAAAAAAAAATAGTGGGAAAAGGACATTCCTGTGAATGAAAGCCTAAAATCGAGCAGTTGATGTTATGAGACATCCAGCACCACCTCACCATCAGAACTGAACTTCAGGACAGTGAAGGTGACCAGAGTGAGCCAACTGACCAGCTTTGCCACATGAGCTATGGTCTCTGGGCCAGTGACAGGAAGACTGGCCCCAAGACACTAGAAACTGTTAAGCAAAAGTTCTAACAGCATCAACAGCACTCCTGTAAGGATGTGGGCAGTGAATGTTTAACTACAAGCACCAGGAGCTTCACCAGGTGGAAGTTTGACAGCAATTAGACAACCTTAATTTATCAAAGCTGAAGCAAAGCTGAAGCTAGAGAAAGCAACCTGAAAAGCAAGGCAGCCCATCTAGCAGTTTTACATGAGTGAGGCATGACACTGCTGGAGTGGGGAATAGATCTCCTCCTTTCTCTTCTAATCTGGAACCAGGACCATGCCATCTGCTCTGTCTGTCTTACTCTCTTTCACCTTATAAGCAGAACTGAAGGGGTTAGTACTACAGAAAACAGCCTTCTCCTGCTAGTTAATCTGCAACCCTATCCAAAGTCTGTGGTATCCCTCAGAAGTCCCAGGATCCAAACCCTGCTATTAAACAAGATGGAAGGGCAATTACAGTGTAATGTCAAGAGAGAGAAAAATTAGAAAAATTACAATCACCTGAAATGAAAACATCTAAGTTAAAAACAAACTAGCTTTAAGTTTAAGTCCCCAAAGGTGAAAAATGTCAATTTTCTTTTGGTTAAAAAGTCTCCCTTTGTAGTCTAGTTCCCAGTTATATAATCATGGTTTCAGAGTCCTACCTCAATGCAGTTCACAGCCAAGTCATGTTACAGATAATCTCATAAAAATTTAACAGTGTCTAACCTTAGTTAAACACTTCAGTGCAATATCACTAACATTCCTTCAACATGTTATAAATTTGTTTTTCCTGCATGCACCACACAAATATCTCTTTTCCACAAATAGGCAGCTTTGTATTTTCTGCTCATGATACTTTCTGCTCTTTTTATGTATGTGTATCTTTCTGACAGGTGCTCGTATTCTGTTCTCTCTGACCACTGTCTGCTCCATTCTTCTCATCTACTGACTTTGCAATTTTAAATTTAAGAAATAAATCATGTTTATCTGATGTTTTTAATTTTATTCCCTCAGCCTAGATTCCCAAAATGTCTTCTAATGTCCTTTCTGAAAGCAATATTTCTAACTAAAAGCATATCCAAAGCAGGAATATAATAAGATATTGAGACTTTGGTGTATACTTAAAACTCATCATTAGAGGATAACTTAATGATATGAGTTGGCAACTAATTGGAAACAATCTAAAATTACAGTTTCTGAATTATTAATATTATTATTCACACATCCATTAATCGGATGTTTCTGAACATTTTATTATTTCAAGAATGAAAGTGCAAAAGACTTCAAATTGATAAGATTTTAAACTGTCCTCAGAACAGGTCATGGAGACGGTTTTATACAAATGAATTCTTTTTAATAATGAAACGAAACTAAAAGTTAGGATATTAGAAGAAGATGCTACTAACTGAATTTTACTGACTTAACATATCCAAGTGAAGAACCAGTGAAAAAAACCACAACAATATGATGTTCTATGTTCTATAATTTCCAACAGAGTATTTAGTGAAAAGAGGGGGGACACATCTTGTTTTAAGTGACAGGAAAAACAGAGGGTTTTAAAGCTTTTTGTTGTTGCTTTGGGGATGAGGTTTGTCTGCTTGCTTGTTTTGTGGGTGAGTTTTTTCTTTTTACATTCCTATTTCTCATTACTTACCAGGACACAACTGCAGAAATCAGCACTCTAAAGAATATGCTTATTAATGTGATCTCAGATAGCAGATTTTATTTTTGCTACACCTCATGCATTTGTAATGATCCTGACATGCACAGCTCTTTTCAAGTACTTTGAATTCAAAGGCGAAGAGCTTCATTTTATCTGTTAGCTAGGACTTACCAGTTTCTAATGCATCCTGCTCCTTACCTTCCATGGCTATGGAAAGCATTTAAATAAGGGGCTCTGCACCCACACAGCGGAGGCTGCAAAGACCTCACAGGCAGAGCAGGAACAAACAAGTCTTTGTTTCTAGAAGAGGGGGATTTGAGGGAGGAGGAGGGGCAGACAAGTTAAAAAACATGGGCAACTTAAGACAATAAAAAAAGATCTTGTCCTAAAATAAGGCTTCACAATCTGCAGAATAGTCAATTGCAATTGCTGCAATACATTTTTGAGAAAATTACTGATCTTCAAATGCTACACATTAAATATTCTACTGCCAACAGCAGAAATGCCTCTTCTGTACTGTCTGTGCCAGACAATGCCTGACAATTCCTGAAAAAAGTTTAGACTGCTGTCTACATACATGAAAAAAACCAAACAACCGAAACCCAAAAAACAAAACCAAGAGAGAGAAACAATTACCAGGCATCAGTGTCAGAAAGAAAAGGCCAACAAAGTTTTAACAATTCAAACATAAAAGGCTAATTTTTCTCCCAAGATCCTCTGTCAGTTGAAAATCCCAAGTCCCAGGGCAGTAACATTTTGCAGTAACACACCACCTCTCCCCTATGCAGAATTACAGGAAGAGATTGCACCCTTAATTATTAGTACACGCAGTTAAATATTTTATGTTGTTTCTTTCCTACTTACATAATTTCACCCTTCAAAGCTAAATGTAGTTTTAATGTGCGAATTCAAAGACATTATTTAGTTGAACAAACAACAACAAAAAAGCTCAGGATGCGAGCACACTATAGCTGACTGTCCTTACTAATAAGAATCAATGTTTTCATTGGGGAAGCTAAAAAAAAAGAACTTGTTCACTTCAGTTTCATTTTGAAAGTAGACAGCTTATTGTGCATCATTTTTGGCTATAGTCAGGTTTCTACCTGTTGCTAGTTTGCAACACGTCAACAAAGGCAAAAATCCTCCTTGATTACCATTTAAAAGAGCTGTGAATAAAAAAAAAATACCAGCAGGATTTGAAAGAGTCTCGGAAGTAATAAAAACATGTTCCAAGGGGCTTTTTAAGAAAGGCTTGGTACAACAATTTGTTGTTTAATCAGGATGTAAGTCATGTTTCTGGATTGTATTCTTTATAATGTATTGCTATGTTACTCTAAGGAAATCCCAGCCACAGTTTCATAATGCTGCTGTTAAAAACAACCTAAAAATTAGCACAATAGAATATTCCATTGCTTTCAGTCTCTGATTAATCTGACAATCCTGGATCTTAGAGTATGGGGAAAACCACAAATAGACTTTTCTCTGGG